TACAGTAATATATAATAAGTATATGAAACATAAAGTACAAACTTAGAAAGAATCTAAAAATACATACATCAGAGTGTCCGTTTGCTGCACACAATGTCCCAGTGAAATTATATCCCAGTAATACCTCAATGATGCTTATACGACAATTATCTATGCATCGAATTGACAGGGTATTTTTACAGTAATATAAATCTAGAATATTCTAGAAGGATATGGAAATAACGAACAGTATTCAATCTCAACGTCCATTAAACAAATATACAAAATAAGAGCAGAGCAAACACGGACCTCCGAAACATCAGAGGTGGGATCAGGTCCCATGGAGGAGTGAACATCCCCTGCCGACCGGTCACACCCGCCGTGTGCTCGTTGTCTTAATCAGGAAATAACGGGAAAAAAATCCGTGGTCAATTCAGTGTATAAATAATGGACTAATTGTAAATACATGATATTCCTGGAAATTGTAATGGACTAATTGTAAATACATGATATTCCTGGAAAGTTCTGGACATGAATAAAGTTAAGAATGTTCTAGAAAAAATGACCAAACATATTGACCACTCTGGAATGTTCAAGAAACTTAATGTTACTAATAATATACAAGATGAAACATTTCTACACATCTCACAACAATATATTCTGGTGAGCTTGAGATAAAAGATACCACAGAGTCCGACAGTTCTGCTTCATATTTGGATGTTTTACTTGAAAAAGACACAAATGATAATCTAACAACCAAGTTACATTTGTATATGATAAACATTTCTAATCATGACAACGAGGACACGGTGGGTGTGACCGGTCGGCAGGGGATGCTCCCTTCTCCATGGCACCTGATCCCACCTCAGAGGTTTCGGAGGTCCGTGTTTTGCTCTGCTCATATTTTGTATATTGTTTAATGGACTTTGAGATTGAATACTGTTCGTTATCTCTATATCCTTCGAGAGAAACATAAACAATATACATTCAATCAATCAAAGAACCTTGAAGTACATTGAAAGGTATAAAATGAAAATTGTTGCATGAAAACATTAAATTTTCTAGCTTCATTTTGAGAACTTTTAAATCAAATTCAAAAATAAACAGTTATCCTACCTGGGTGAGGATCGGAGCACCTTAAAGGAGACTACTTATATTACTGTTTCATTGATCAATAATTTCATCAATAATTTAACTTATTTTAGAAATTGTTCATATGTGGAGCATACTCTTGCATGCTGAATCAACCGAGATATATAAACTCCGTGCTCAGGTGATGAAAACCTACAAAGAAAAGGGAAGTTGAGTTTAGAAAAAATGAATCACGTTTATCATAGAGATTGGTTGTTAAATTACTGTTAATGTCTTTTCGAAGTAAAACATTCAATATGAAACAGATGTGACGGACTTTAAGTGCCTTTTATACAAGTAACAAGGATATATTGTATCGACATGAAAATGGAAGTTACCATTTTTAATACAATACGTCGTTGATATATCTAAATTTGAGTTGAAGGCCACCAGTGTTCTTTTTACGCATAAGATTTTGCACAAATTCTGCTTCATGTGAATACATAAATAGTTTTTCTAATAACGGTATGCAATTGGTACCCATGGGAATTCAAATCGATTGTTAGAAGACCTGTTTTTTTTTATTAAAAAAAAACAACACATATTTGTAATTTGTCAATTTTTTGTATGTCAACTTAAGAGTATTTGTATGTGCATCAGAATGTTTCCTTGTAACAAAATATTTTTGCAGATGACCAATGACAAGGTTAATAAATTTACGAGTTCCATTTTTTGGTTACCTGAGCAAACTCAGGTGACCTATTGCTTTCCGTTTTCGTCCGCCGTCGTGTGTTGTGCGTCGTCCGTCATGCGTTAACTTTTGAACATTTTCAGCTTCTTCTCTACAACCGCTCAACCAATTTCAACCTAATTTGGCATAAAGCATCTATGGGTGTAGGGGGACAAAAGTTGTGAATTTTATGGAATCTGCCCTCCTGGGGCCTGAGTGGTGGGGCAAAAACCACTAAAATTAATGTTATCTTTAAAAATCTTCTTCTTTACTCCTGGACATCAAGCAGTCATACTGTTTGCATGATTGTAATCAGCATTGAGTCCTCTACCAAAATTAGTTATATTGAATATTAATAATGCTGCCTTTTTCAAATTTGTGAATTTCATGGCCCCTACCCCTTTGGGCCTGAGGGATGGGGCCAAAATCACTAAAAATAATGCAATCCTTAAAAATCTTCTTCTTTACTCCTGAACATCAAGCAGTCAAACTGTTTGCCTGATAGTAATAAGCATTGAATCCTCTACCTAAATTATGAAATTCATGGCCCTGGGGTCAGGGGTTCTTAAGTGCTAGGGTAGGGCTATATAGATGATATAGTGAATAAGCATTATTTCTTTGAAAATCTTCTTCTCTGCTCCTGGGTATTTTATAAACACACAAAATACATAATTATGTTGAATAATGCTCCCTCTTCCAATTTTGTGAATTTCATGGTCCCTGCCCTCCACACCCCCCCCCCCCCGGGAGTGGGTGCTGAGGAGTGGGACCATAACCACTAAAATTAATGCAATCTTTGGAAACTTCTTCTTGTAATCAGCATTAAGTCCTCTACCAAAATTGTGAAATTCATGGCCCCAGGGTCAGGAGTTCTAGTGCGAGGGCGGGGCTACATAGATTATGTAGTAAAATTGCATTATTTTTTTGAAAATCTTCTTCTCTGCTCCTTGGCATTTGATTGATTGATTGTATATTGTTTAACGTCCCTCTCGAAAATTTTTCACTCATATGGAGACGCCACCACTCGCCGGTGGAGAGCTACAAATTTTGTCCTATACTCGGCACTCAGGGCCATTGAGCAGGGAGGGATCTTTATCGTGCCAACACCTACTGCGACACGGGACCTCGGTTTATACGGTCTCACCTGAAAGACCGGTCTCCAAGTCCATTGTGGGATTCGAACCCGCGACGTAAGGATTGACGCCTTACTTCGCGACTCTAGAGCAGACGCTCTAACCACTGCGCTACTCGCTGGGCATTTGATGAACAAACCAAATACATAGTTTTGTTGAATAAGGCAGCCTTTTCCAAAATTGTGAATTTCATGGCCCTTGGGTCAGGGGTTCTTAGGTGCTAGGGTGGGGCTATAAAGATTATGTAGTGAAAAAGCATTTTTTTTCTTTGAAAATTTTCTTCTCTTCTCCTGGGTGTTTAATTAAGTATGAAAGTTGTTACTTGATACTCATGTGACATATAAGGCCTCTTGTTATTGAAAACACAGCTGTCAATTATATCAAAAAGTCTGGACTTTAATTTATCTTGGGGAATGTCTGTTTATAAAGTTAAATGCCGTACGTTTTTAAGCTGTGAATTATAGTGAAATCTTGTGATTTCAAATTGGCCGAAAGTACCTTGAAATTATTCACATTTGATTTACACCACTTCATGAATATATTGTTGCAGAGTACTCTTGAAGTTTCTTCTTCACTACTGTCAATATCTTAGTGAGAAGTAAAAAAAGAGGCTTGGTTTAACATTTACTGGAACGCACTACGTATCTTTGTCTGTAGGGATTCTTATAAATTTTCTGAATCTAATATCGAAATGGTAGTTAAAAATCATTTTGGTTCTTTTGGATATCAAAACTTTTCAAAAGTCACACATAATTTTGAAGAATTTCTTCCTTAGAAAGTGAACTATGAGTATAATTTGGATTACCACTTGTAAATTCTAATCCCAGATCTTTTCTTAAATACAATTTTCCAAACGAATAGAATGTTGTTCTTACCTGCCTTTTCAGCAGGGACCAGAACGTACTGATCATGTAATATATATATAGTGGGTTGAGTGGTATAAGAGAAGTTGCAAATAAGAGATGTGTTCCCCAAAGCGTAACAGGCGGACATCCCGGTCACTATGTACCCTCCGATTGCTGAAGTGCTAAATTACAGATTGATTTTTTTATCATTTCTTCAGAATGTTTATTAAGGTCTTCCGTCTTCAGCAGAAGACCTTCTTGTTATTCTTCGGTTTCTTTTTCATTTTTTTCTTACCTATTATTATTCCTTTTTATCTTACCGATTTTGTGCACGCGATTTCTCGAAAACGGCTCGATGGATTTTAATGAAACTTTCAGGACTTATGTAACATTACTTGAACTTGATTCATTTTTTGCGTTTTGATGATGTCATTCCCGGTCCGGAAATATTGTCGAATTTATGATTTTTGAAGGGACAGGTTGTCCGTGAATGTTCTAAAAAATGGCTATAGATAGAAACATGAAAATATCAGTTATGATAGTCCTTAGTCTGTAGATGTGCAAAATGAATTTTTTTTTATTGGAATTGCCGCACGTCGGCGCTCGCTATCGCTCGAAAATTGTCCTATCGCAAATTTCAAAATTTTAAAAACATTTTCTACGATATCTTTTTACCTGGAAATATTTTTTTTAGAACATATAGCAAAAAGAAGTGTAGAATTCCAAGATAATCAAATCAAATAATCTCTTGAAAAAAGGACTGGCCCCTCAAATAAAGGGCCTAGAGGAGCCAAATTTTTTTTTGATATCTCAAAACGTATTGAGAATACATCAAAGACGAAAAGTTGTTCAAATATTAAGCTTAATCTTTTGGTGTCGTCAAAATACGTCCGACGTCGTCACTTCCGGCCAAACTGGAAGTAGTCAGAAAACGCGCATTTTTGCCGTTCTTGTCAAGTTTTAGGGTAACATATGTCTCTGGAAGCAAAAAAATAAATTTTACGTCCGTCGTTGTCACTTCCGGTGAAACCGGAAGTTGCAAAAAATGGCTTATTTTTGCATTAATTATCATAGCTTTATAGGTTTCATTCCATTTTTTGGCCGTATTTCTCATTTTTGTTTAAAATGAAAGCTACTTCCGGTCAAACAGGACGGAAGACCTACTCGTTACTTTGCAACGAGCTTTGCTCTAGTTGTTATTATTATAACTTTTGCTACAAATCCGATTTCATTTTTTTCCAGAGAAGATAATGGCTCCTATTCCCCAAAATGTTAAAGGTACGTACAATAGATTTAAATGACACAATACATCTAAATAACACAAAAAAAAAAAAAACAGGGTCAGATTATATTTTTTTCAAAATTAAAAACAATCATAAATTTGGAACCTTGTTTTTGGAGGGGGTGAACTATAACCGTTTTCTCTTTCACTCATAAACCTTCGTTTGTTTATATATCTCACTTGATTCGATACATGAGAGCATTTCATACGTTTGAACTATATCTAAAATAGGGTTATTGACAAACAAGTTGATGAAACAAGATTATCAGCAGTGTTGTTTAAAGTCATCATTTAAAAGTTCTATCATCGATACAATGACTTTGTGAGCAAATTCAATTTATCATTAAGTCAAATGCTGACTGACGTTTTTCATACTGATTGTTAGACCCTCATTGTCGACAATATTTTTTTCGTTATTTCCCGATCGTTATAGGGAGCACACGACAGGTGTAAATGGTCAAAATTTTATGAAAAGTAGCGAGTATTTCGGAACTTTCAGCATCAGAATTGTGCATTTGAACTAGTTTTTTCCATTATTCTTGTAAGAGTGTTCACCAGAAAATGTAGACTTTATGTTGACATATACTTCTGTTTAATCATTTATCCACTCTAAAATAATGTGACCGTTACATTTTATTCAATAATTGGTAAATTTTAACAACATAAAATAAAAAGTAAAGCAGTTTTTACACTTTGAAGCATTGACATTGTAAGGGAAGAAAGTCCTTATTAATAAAATATTAAATCCTCGGAAATAGTTCAAAGCAAAGCTTCATTTAAAATATCAATCAAAAACATGAAGTACTTTGCTTTGAAATTAATTAAACATTTTAATAACTTGATACTTTTAATGTAAAAACCTACCTATATTACCATTACGGAAGTAATTTTTAAGGCAAAATTGTTTTTATACCCCCCGAAAACGAAGTTTAGGGGTACAATGTATATTGGAATAAGCTTGTCCGTCTGTCTGTAGAAAATATTTTGTCCAGAACGTTTCTCAGAAACTATTGAAGGCATTTGTCTGAAAAATTGTCCATTTATTATTCACCATATGAAGGTATGCACCTGGTATTTTAATCATGATTGGATGTTTTTGTGCATTTTACAGGAATTTTTTTTTTCATTTTTCTTTTGTTGTTTTGTTCGGCCCATAACTAGAAAACTATTAGACTTACAACCATTAAACTTGCCAATTTATGCATCTTGGGTATAGGCTGTGCCATGACCTATATCAAGGTCACTATGACCTTTAGTTAAAGAGAATTAAAAAAAATTGCTATTGAATTACAAAATCCCAAAAATGTAAGACTGTTGCAGTATCCCTATTTATAACATGTAAAATCAAGAAAATATTTTTTTTTCATTATATACTTTACAGCAATCCATAGCAAATGTTATTTTATAAAGAGAAAATCTACCTTTAGATCTCCAAAGGGTACTCAAGCACTGGTCAAGGAAAATTTTGATAATAGAAAATTGCATGTCAAATTAGAGAGACATCAATTAGTTTAGTGTAAGGAGTTACCGTAAGTGGTAGAACTTCTGTCTGATAAAGGAGTTATTTGTATCTTGGGAACTGGGCTAATGAATCAGCCTTAAATAGGTTTAGTGACTAGCCTAACTTTTTTAATGAATTTGAGAAAAAAGCTAATTTGAAACTGCATAAAAAACTATGATATTGTATAATATAATCAAAACTAAGTATATTGTGTGTATGTGGGGGTGTTATTGGAATCAGCATGTCCATTTGCCATATGAATTACAAATTGAAACTTTTAGTCTGATATCAGACCTAAATGAATCAAGTATTTAAAAAAAATGGTAGATAGTCCCCACAAATCTACTAATCATGCAGAAACCTTATTCAAAATGATGCATCAAGATTACACAATTTTTTTATGCCCCGCCATATAGGCATATAGTGTTTGTCATTTCCTTCTTCTTTCCTTCTGTCCTTCTATCCTTCCGTCCTTCCGTCACACTTTGTGTTAAGCTCTGTTCAAAGCTCATATGCTGATAGATAATACAATTGCATCAACATTTTTTGACCTTGACCTTTCCTTTGACCTTGACCTCACTTTTCTTAAATATGTGTTTAGCTCAGTTTTAAACATACCATTCAAGATCGTGTTATCAAACTTCACATGTTGATACAAACTTGCACAGATGTTGCATCTCGGCATGAACAGTACCAGACTTGCTTCGGATTCTGGATCTGACCTACATTTACCAGATGAATGACCAGGTTAAAGTTTTTGGAGCAGGTTCATTCCTAAGGAACTATGAGCCATAATTGGACCAAACTTGCATGGATGATGCATCTAGAGATGGACACTACATGTACCACACTTGCTTCGGATACCAGATATGACCTTTATTTTCATTCCCAAGTAACTATAAGCCCTGCCTGAACCAAACCTGCATGGTTGATGGATCTAGGGATGGACACTACCAGACTTGCTTTGGATGCTGGATCTGACCTATATTTTCATTCCAAAGTAACTATAAGCCATACCTGAACCAAACTTGCATGGATGATGCATCTAGGGATGGACACTACCAGACTTGCTTCAGATGCTGGATCTGACCTTCATTTTCATTCCCAAGTAACTATAAGCCCTACCTGAACCAAACCTGCATGGTTGATGGATCTAGGGATGGACACTACCAAACTTGCTTCGGATGCTGGATCTGATCTACATTTTCATTCCCAAGTTACCATAAGCCCTACCTGAACCAAACTTGCATGGGTGATGCATCTAGAGATGGACACTACCAGACTTGCTTCGGCTACTGGATCTGGCCTATATTTTCCAAACAAGCAATTCAGCTGCATCATAATTCAAGATATTCTGATCAAATTTTATACACATACAAATTTTCATGTTGCTTTACTAATATATCCTCGGCGGGGCATTCATGTCCTATGGACATATTTCTAGTTTTCAGTATAAATCTTTCTAACATGTGTAACAAAGTTATACAAAATCTTTGTTTTCAGATTTAATTTCAGAATGAAACATGGAATTAAGCATTTTGATTACACTACAATGGAGAAAGTAAAGATACTGAATTAACGACGGATTTTTTCCGTTATTTCCTGACCATGACAACGAACACACGGCGGATGTGACCCGTCGGCAGGGGATGCTCACTCCTCCATTGCACCTGATCCCACCTCTGATGTTTCGGAGGTCCGTGTTTGCTCTGCTCTTATTTTGTATATTGTTTAACGGACTTTGAGATTGAATACTGTTCGTTATCTCCATATCCTTCTTCATCCATTTATCCCATCATGGTTATTAGTGGCCATGCATCAAGTGCTATGGACAGTTTAAATAGCATTTGTCATTTGATGGTCAGTCTCCTATCTCTAAAATCAAATTGGTATAGATCAAATTTTTAAGATTTATTAGTTATATTTATATATTTTTTGGATATATATCCTGTTAAAATATCAAGTGACCAATTTCATATCATCATGATCAACATGAAAGATATGTGCATATGTGTATGTTTGTGGAGTCTCCAATTGTTTCTAAGAAAATAGTGAACACCTCTTAATAGATCCATAAATATATCTGAAATTGCACATACTCTGAAAAACCCTCGAGGGTATATGTCCCTATTGGACAGTGCTAGTTCTAATTCATTTTGTTTTGTCGAAAATGTATTCATTAAATATAGTTGACTCGTATTGAGTATAAAAACTGCTTTAAGAAGTCGAAAATGTAAAAGTTAACATACGGACTGACAGGCAGACGGATGTCGGACAAAATGTGATCAGAAAAGTTAATGAACTAAGTGCACTTGAGCCTTTGGCTCAGGTGAGCTAAACACTTTAAGATTCCTAATTTGCCAACCCTGAAAGGCTATTTCAGGAAAATACGGTATTGTGTCATTAGTGCTCTCCAAATCCACATACAATGCGTATATTTTTATTGCTTTATTAAACTTTATTTGCATACAAAAAATAAACAAGCGTGTATTATAATTGGATGAAAATTGTTCCTTTGCCATGCACTCGGCACTTGAAGTATAAGTTGCGGGTCCTTTGGTTGAGACCCTTAAAAAACGATGAATTTAAGAAACAGTAAGAAGTCGAACCTTATGAAACAGAACAGGAGTCAAAAGTAGACATTACAGGTGCCAAGTGTCGCACATACAGTAACCATACTCGCGCTGTTATAAAAAAAACTTTTTATATTGCAAAATATTAATCTTATAAAACATTACCAATATGGGAAACAATTCAAATATAATGTACTCATTTCACTTTTAACACAAATATGCTGTGCTAATCGCATTTAATATACGAGGGGTGATCAAAAAGTTCACGAACGATCTCTATATCTACAATACCGTATTTCAGTTTAGAAAATATTTGGTTCACACATATCATTTAATTTCTATGAAATACTTGATTCTGATTGGTTGAAAAATTCTTTTGATACCTGCATCAATAAAATCTAGAGTTCGCTTCCACTTAGCAGCCGGAACTACTTGGCAGTCTCTACATGTATATTTCCCGCTTCCAGGTTACTTACTTCTTGAATGAATAATTTAATAATTTTACTTTAATAAATATTTTCCTGAATTTCGAAATATGTCCGTTATGTTACTGACTTATTTTCTACTTTCGTTTCTAGTTGAATTATCGCCCTTTGCTAAACAAATCAAATCGTCTGCATAAAAACAGTACAGTTTTGGGAAATCGACATAATTTTGTTAAATGTTTGGCTTTGAGCTGTCTGGTATGAACAATAGAATTCTGAAGAAACTTTTTTTTTGCTACCAAAGAGAGGAAAAGCATTAATCTGTTAAATTTTGGGAAATGAATGATCGAGAAAAACGACACTGCGTGAATGAGGACATATTCTTTTAATCTTACACAGTCGACAGCAGACTCTTTCAGGTTTTACAGCATTGACAGGTTGTGATACGTGCATGTGTATTTATAATATATTCAGATAAAAAGTTGTGCAAATAGAAA